GCGCCGTGCACGGAGCGCCCTTTGCGCACGGAGGCCGAGGGGAGGCGCCCCTGCGCGGCCCGCGGGCGAGCGTAGGCGCGTCCTCGCCGCTCCCGAGCCTTTCCACAGGGCGCCGAGCCGGGGGCGCCAGGGTGCGGAGTCCCCTTGCAGGAGCTTTCCGGGGCCGCGCGCCCTCGGGGGCGAGGCCACCCGCAGCCACAGCGGGCCGCCGGGGGCTTCCTGCCCGTCCCGCAGCCTCCTTGCTTTTCGACATTCCCAGGGCCAGCCTCGAGGCGGAAGGGCCAACTCTGCCCCGCGCCCCAGGCTCTGAGCCCCCCCCGCGCGCTGGCTGTCCACCCAGACGAGGGCGGGGAACCCCCCGGGGGATGGGGGGGGCTGATTCGTGGCACGGGCGTGGGGCCAACGTGTGTGCAGCCGGCAGGGCAGGGCAGGGGCCACGGGTGGCTGCGGTCGCCCGGGAGCCTGTCTGGGGAGGGGCAGGTCCGGTGGATTACCTGACTTGGCCCCGTGGGTCCTTCCCCGGCCCCCCCCCCCCCCCACACTGTATCGAGTCCAGCCAGCATCTGGAGCCTCTCCCCGAAAACCTGGCTGAAGCGGGAGCGTTTTTGTGCAGCACACTGAACACGTGCGCGAATGTTTGTGATGGCACAGAGATCAAACGCACATTAAAGGGCATGTCTATTCGATGCGCACGTGTCCTGCAATCCAAGCGAAAAATCCTGCTGCTGATGCCGGACCAGGCGAGATTGACAACGGCAAGTCCTTGCGAGGCCGGGTACGTGGGGAGCGAAGGACGGAGCAGAGAGGCTGCAAAGCCATCGTCATGGCGCCCAGCCCTGCATGATGGGCTCGGGAACACAAGCGCGTCTCAAAAAGAGGATGCTCCCATCCGCACGCTTAATTGGCCAGTTGTTGGAAACACTGCAGAATCCCGTCAGGGCCAAAGAAAGCCGTTTCCCCAATGCCACAGGTCTCTGGGGCTGGCCCACCTACGGTGTTCAGCTCTAGTGGGACTGGCCAGGCCCCGTTCACTCATGCACGTGTGTGGGCGCACAGTGCCCCCCCCATGCCGATCAGGCCGGTAAAAGTCTGCAGTGGGGGAGGGGTGATTATCTGGAGGGGTGGTGGGGCAGAAAGGGTGGTGGAAGCCCCTTCCGCTCGAGCGGCCACCCCCCCCACCCTGGCCCCCATCCTGTGCTGCAATTCGCACGCCTATAAAAGCCTCCATTGGGACCATGTTTGAAACAGGTGGTGACTTGCCCCACACACTGAGTTAATTAATTGGTCTGCAAATACTCAGGTAGGCAAATAGGCAGCTAATTGGATCTGCTACTTGCTGGAACTTCAGAGGGAGAGAGAAATTCGGTGACAAGGGAGCTGTGAAGAGAACATGGGGGGGGTCAGGCCATCCATTCTGCGGGGGCCAGTTTGCTCGCTGCTGAGTGGCCCAGGCTGTCCCAGTTTTCGGGCAGCTATCCGAGGGAAGGGGCGGGGCCTTCCCAAATGGCACAGGGGGCTTCAAAGGGCGCGAGATGACCAGTGTCCAGCTGCAATGCAAAAACCGCTACGGGGAGGGAGGCGGGGGACGCACCGTGGGGCCTGCAGTCGGCTACGCTTGGCCAAAGGCAGTTTCGAGGGGGACCTGACGCGGGGGGGGGGGGAAGAGGCCCCACCAAAGGGGGATTCTGGGAGGGAGTTCCAAGTGGGAGGCAGCAAGGCAGGGGCCCGGTGGGCACTCCCAGGGAAGCAAGCGGAGCTGGCAGAGGCCTCCATCTCCCGAGTCGGCCTTCCCCAAGCCGGCCAGCGCTCTCAGGGGCAAGCCACTGATGGCCCGGAAGGTCCTCAGCGGAAGCAGGGCTGCGGCCCTTTCTTTTCCTGGGGAAACAGAGCTGGCAGCAGCTGGCTGCCCTGCAAGCCGATAGAGCGACATGGAGCCCGTGAAACATGAGCAGTTCACGGCCCACCATCTGCACGATGAATAATGCATCCGCGCGGCCCGCATCGTCTTGCAGGGCACGGCCTTTTCCGCGCCCCTGCAAAAGAGACGCTGCCCGGCTCGGTTCCCTGGGCGGCCCCCGGCTTTGTTCTCCGGCAGGGACATGTTCGCCGCTCTTTCAGCACCAGCCGCAGGGTCGGAGCAGACAAAAGAACTCCCAGTGAGACGCCTTTGCCACCTGGGACGGGACGGGACGGGACAAAAGCGCTCGCTCGCCAAGGCAGAGAAAGGGAAAGGTGCCTGCTCTGCTCTGCTCTGCTCCCCTCGGAGGGCTTGCTTCGCCTCGCCTCGCCTCCCACCCGCCCGCCAAAATCTAGAAGGAAGCACCTCGGCTTGAGCTGCTGTGTGTTCGTCATGCGCTGCTGGCGAAAAGTTCACCGAGAGCCTCCATGGTTCAAGTCTGGATTGAAACGGCGTTGCGTTTTTCCATTTAAAATAATAAAAAACACATCTAATCATGAGGCATTTGCATGCCGCGTTTTTCCTTCTCGCGAGGGACTCCAGGCTGGCCTCCAGGGCCCTGCTCCGCTCTCCCGCACCACTGCAGCGACGCCGCGAGGTGAGCTAGGCTGCGAATCAGTGGCTGGCCCACAGGCGCCCCGAGAGCCCCGTGGCCGAGTGGGGACTGGAGCCCGGATCCACCAGCCCGGTCCAGCCCCCAGCCGGCTTCCTGGCTTCAGGTGGGGGGACCCGGCTATCCCCGTGAGCAACGCACGGGACCCGAGCGGGAAAAAGGCCCGGCCAGCGGACACAAGGCGGGAGGCGATGCAAGCGCCGCCCGCATCGCATCGCATCACAGCTCAGCACAATCGTGGTGCGGCCGTGCCGTAGTTCCACTTAAAGTGCCCAAGGGGCGCATCGCTAGCCGAGGAGACGCTCTTCCCAGAGGGGCGCCTTGGGGAGGGATGCCCCGCTCTGTCTCCGAGAGGGGCATCCCGCTGGGGCACCCGCCTGCAGGAGGTCCAAAGCCACTGGCGGCCTGCCAAGAGGGTGCCAGTCTGGCCCCATCTGGCGGCCGGGGAAGGAGCCACTGCATGCCTCCCCCGCCTCACTGGCCCCTGTGCTCGGTGCTCAGCCCCCGAGCCTGCCTGCCCGTCCCCGTTCTGCGCCTGCCTCTGCCCAACGCGAAAGAAGCCCGGCTTCCCTGGCATGGGATGACGCTCTGCCTTCCCCGTGGCCTTTTCGGAGAAGCATTCTCCAAGCTTGTCCCTCCCGATGTGTCAGGGTAGAATCCACCTCCTGGCAGCCTGACCACTCGTCATGATGCCTGGGAGTAATGGGTATTGGAGTACCAACCCTCCAGAGGGCAGCAGGATGGGGGAAGGCTCCGTTCAGAGAATACGGTGCTACAGCCCCCCGGCAGGAGTTTATTCATCCCTTCTTGGGCCCCTTTCCACGCTCACCCGTCCACAGTGGTCGATAAAAACTAGGAAGACAAACAATAGAAGCACAAACAAGCTAAAGAGAGAGGCAGTGTGGCATAGTGGTTAAGAGCGTGGGACTGGGACTCGGGCGATCCGGGTTCGAGTCCCCGCTCGGCCATGGAGCCCACTGGGTGACTCTGGGCCAGCCACAGACTCTCAGCCCAGCCAACCTCACAGGGTTGTTGTTGTGGGGACAAGATGGAGGAGGAGAATGATGTCAGCTGCCTTGAGCCCTTTGAGGAAAAAGGCAGGATATAAATCGAAAAATAAATACATAAACTAAAGGAGAATTAAAGCAGCAACTTAAAAGCAATGCCCAGGCCAGGGTCCTTCCATGAAACATCTCGAAGAGATCCTAGTCCGGGCTTGCTGTCCTCTCCGCCTTCTCACTCCACCTCTCCTTCTCTCCAGAGTGTTTCCTTGCAGCACCGAGAACTTGTCCTACATTCAACTCGAGCGTTTCACGGCTGTCTCTAAAATATTAATCTGTACTGCAGGCTTTCCCCCTTTTCCTTTTCTGCCTGCACGGAGGCCCAGGGAGTCCATGCAGCCAAGGAGGAGCACACGGGGAAGCTACCCCCCGCCCTTCATGTGAGGACCTCAGATATTTATGGGGG